GCGCTCAGCCTTCCTTATGGTCCAGCTTTCACAGCCATACATTGCAACTGGGAAAACCATAACCTTGACTATATGCACTTTTGTTGGCAGGGTGATGTCTCTGCTTTTTAGTACGCTGTCTAGATTTGCCATAGCTTTCCTCCCCAGGAGCAAGCATCTTTTAATTTCTTGGCTTCAGTCCCTGTCTGCAGTGATCTTGGAGCCCAGGAAAATAAAATCTGTCACTACCTCCATTTCTTCCCCATCTATTTGCCAGGAAGTGAGAGGACCCATGCCATGATCTTAGTTTTCTTAATGTTGATGTTTCTTAGTACATCCCTTTATTTTAAGACCTCTAAGCAACTGCATGGGACTTCTAGTTAGTCAGGAGCAGCATCATTTGGAGAGAAGATGCTCTGCCACTGTCCACCTCCTTGCCCCATCCCTTCTGCCACTGGAGCTGCTGTTGGCTCCACAGGGAACTGGTGCAGAAAGAGAAAGGTTAAGCTGTCCCTCCTCAAGCATGTCTTCCTTGGTCAGATTTCATCTGTAGCTTCAGGTATCCGCTTTGAACTTTTGCAACAAATACAGTTGGGTGACCCCATCACAGACTGGTGCCCCTTTGCATAGATCTGTTATGTCAGGTCTACTGTGGCTCCGAAAGAACAAGATAAAAGCAGCAGCATTCACACACCCAAACCGAGGCTGAGACAGCTTTAAAAGAGGATACATTCATGGTGGAGAAGACTATTAATGGTTGGCTACTAGTCATGACCGGAGATGGATGAGAATTCCATGGTGAACATGAATGCAATAGCCTTCTCCTCCTGCTGTTCCCCCAGTGCTACCTTTGAATCTGGTGTGAGTACATACATCATCATGGTGGCTAGGTGGATACTTCTGCACGGTTTCTGTTTCTCCAAAAATCAGTTTCAGCCACAATGACCATGGATTGTATGTACTAGCACAGATTGAGGCAACCTGCCTCTGAGTAAGGGTCATTGGGGAGTCACTGCAAGAGAGGGCAAGGGGCCCCATGTCCAACCCAAGTACTTCCTGTAGGCACCTTGCTGGCCACTGCAGCGAACAGGAACTTGGATCAGGTAGACCCCTGGTCTGATCCAAAGATGCTTTTGTATGTTATGCTCAAATATACTGGAAGGCAGTGTGAACAACTCTTGTAAACCTACCATCCTACAATAGCAGAGCTTTCCATGCCATTGAGTATTGCTCAACTGCAAAGCAACATCTTGTCTTGCATGGATGAGCACTTATTCACAAAATTACAAGGATAACTTATGGAGAACAGCAAGAGAGCTGGATCATGCATCTCAGCCAGAAATTCTCTCTGTGTGAATAAAATATATGCATTTGGGAAGGAAGAAGATGCTGGTGAATCTCCTGTGTCAGAATGGCCCCTCTACACACTGACACATTTGCCTCTTCTGAAACTTGGCATGCAAAGTTTCAATTGACAAAAATCACACTGGGACCCCTTCACTGGGTCGCTGCTGAGGAAACATCCCTGTACCCTCCCAGTTATCTGTTCTGCTTTAGCTCATTTCCATGGCTCATCCTCCCCCAGCAGAAGCCTCATCTGAAATAATAAAATCATAGAATAGCAGAGTTGGAAGGGGCCATGAAAGCCATCAAGTCCCACCTCCTGCTGTTGCAGGACACCAAATCACACCATCCCACTCAGATGGCTGCCCAGTTTCTTTCTGAATGTCTCTAGTGTGGGAGAGCCCACCACCTCTCCAGGCAGCTGGTTCCACTGCCGTATTGCTCTGACAGTGCGGAAGCTTTTCCTGATGTACAGCCTGAATCTGGGTTGTCGCAACTTGAACTGATTATTCCGTGTCCTACACTCTGGCACCAGCAAGAAGAGATCTTGACCTTCCTCTTTGTGACAGCCTTTGAGGCACTTCTAGAGGGATATCATGTCCCCCTCAGTCTTCTCTTCTCAAGGCTGAACATGCCCAGTTCCCTCAGTCTCTCCTCACAGGGCAGTGTTTCCAAACCCCGGATCATTTTTGTCGCCTTCCTCTGCACCCTTTCTAATTTTCTAGGATTACACACATGCATTTGTACTTTAGGTGACATCCAGTGCCACAGTGGCCCTCTTCAGCAGGGAAAGGAGGCGGAGCATGGGCATGGCCACTGTTGTCCCTGGGGGAAGCGGAGCAGGATGATTGGTTGGTAGAGAGTGGCAGCTTAGCAGCGGGCAAGGGAGGCAGGAGCAGAAGCCAGTGCTATTGCAATCCTCGTTTGGGAAAGGCAGCAGGAGATGGGGCAGCTGTCAGCATTGCACCGAGATGGGAAAGAGAAGGAAAGGCAGGGGCAGAGGGGGGAGTGGCGGGAGGAGGAGAAACATGCCACTGACACCGTCACTGGGGGGACCAAAGCAAGAGGTGGAAGGCACGCACTGCCGCAGTCACAACACACAGCCAGTGGGGAGAGATGAAAGAGAGCGGTAGTGTGGGCTCTTGCCCCCAGTGGAAGGAGGTCTTGCCCCAGCCCTGGAGTCAAAGGGCTGCACGTCACAGACAACTTGTAGTCAAGTTATCCTCTGGAAAGCCAGCTTTGACATCATGATAAAAATGTAGTGCTCTCCCCTAACCTTGACCTATCAGATCCACTGAATAAAAGCAAGATGCAGTTGAATATTTCTTTGTGGTGCTTCATCTCACTCATGCTTTATAGAACTACAATAAAAACTGAATGTTCTTGTTACTTTTGGTGAGGATGGCCCAGCGATTCTCAGCCTAATGGATGAACAAAGAAGCAGTGGAGCCACTGCCTTCTTTATGTGCTTATAACTGCTTCTTTACATCAAAGTTTTCATGAATGCTGTGAAATAAAACCAGATCATCAAATCAAGAAGCTGTAGGCAGAGTTTTTGCTATAGTACAACAAGAGGGAGTAGAAAGAACTGTGAAGTGTGCTACTGAAAAAAAAAAGATTCATTGATCCAGTTCTTCAGAATAAGATAGATCCGAGTGCCATCAGGGTTGCACAGAGGTTTAGGTTAACTACGCCTAGAATAAGAAAAGTCTCCTCACAGATTGGCTTGCATTATCTACTCCTCAGGTGTTCCAGTGCTTTCCATAGTGACTGCAAGGAGGTATAGGTTCAGATTCCTTCTCTGAAGGCTGGAGGAGTGTCTATGGCCTCAGAAGGGGACCAGCTCTGGTCCTTTGAGTGCAGTTCCTTCATGAAAATTCAGAATATAACAACAATTAATTTTTGTGAAAGGTTGCTCCGTCATTATGGGGAAGCAACACAGGACACGACCAAGGACCTTTATGAAAGACAGAGGCAGTTGACTTGATCATATGCAGGCTCTCATAAACTGCAGAGCACAGAATTACTGTCCTATCTATCTCAACATTGTTTCCCGCTTTGCATGGTGATCACGCTCAAAGGTTTCAGGGGGTCTATCCGCCTTTCTTGGGGATGGAAGGTGGCACCTTGACCTTCATGGTGTGTACTGTCCCACAAGCTACAACCAGTCACACCAAGGACAAAATCAATCCCCGTTAGGTCTCAGTCTGAACTTTAGGAGAGCTGTCCATGGTGCTGAACACAGTCTCCATGGCTGATCTAGGCTCACCACCCTGGATTGGTCCTGAGAAGTTCAGATGATGGCCCAGAGTGACACTGGCTACAGCCCTTGACTTAGAGAAGCAGACAAGTTATATGTCTGCTGTGCCTTTCAATGGGTATTGTCACCTATGTTTTCTCCATGGCTCTGCTTTTTCTCTTCAGTTACTCCCCCGTGGCTGTGTGTGTGTGTGTGTGTTAGAATGACTCTTTGATTTAGTTTTCTCTGAATTCCAACACAAACTGGTGATCAGCTGCATTAGAAAGCAGCAATAAGAGAGAAAATTCTGCCTGAATCCCTGCATTTGTATGGCATGTGGAGTAGCAATGCTGCACTCAGCAGAGGTAGAACCCCGGGAGAGAACAAAGCCTCTCTCTTGGGTCACAAAACAGACCACATAGAGACCTCCATCTTTCAGAGATGCTTATTAAAATCCCATCACTCTGGCCAGGGCCTTCTTGAGAACTAACTAGCAAGCAGATCGCGAAATGCTGGGCTGGCACCACTCCCATTCTACTGAATTGAGCTGTTAAAGATGGAAGGCTCTGCATTTTGTACAGCTCAGTTTGGTGCACACACTGTGGGCTCCAAGGAAAAAATTGAATTGCAATCTGTAATGCAAGCAAATAGTGCAAGAGATGGAAGAACGCAAAGTAGCTCAATGTTTTATGCTGTGGAAAGCTGCATTTCACTCAGGTAGAAAACCCAGAAACCTCTCCTGAATTCTTTAGAGATGCTGCAGATTCACAGCAGTATAAATGGGATGAGAATAAGCACACTGAGGGGTCAGTAGCTAGAAAGGGGTCAGTAGCTCACCCCCCTGGGTGTGCGGATTAAAAGGCAGACAGATTAATTTATGAACCTGCACTCTTGCAGAAAAAATGTTTTTGCTGAGACAGTCCAACTAAGAAGCTAGCTTCAACTGGACTTACGCTTTCCTGAGTTGTGCTCCTGTGCACACTTACCTTACCTACAGTAAATCTGATCTGAGACTGTAGAACTTCTCTGCATGTGTAGGGTTGTGCAAAAGTCCTGCAAAAGTGAACGCTATTTTTAAAAAACCTTGGGTTTGACAAGTATTACTGCTTAAGTGACTCATTTGTTCTCTGTTTAAAGCATAAAGTAACTATGAATCTAGTCATTCCCTGCAAGCAGAAAGCTAAGACAACAGTGGGAAAGGGGGAAAAGTCTTCTCTCCCATACATTAGTTTCCAGGATCAGGCAGACTTGGGTTAAGTTAAGCAGCTATTGATTCTGGGTGGAACCTTTCAAATGCTTCAGTTACAATTTTGCCCGCATCAAACCTTTCCCCACCAGATTACTGGAACTCTTTGAGGCTGTCAGTAGTGCTTGACTACAGGTGATTTAGTTGAAACTGGACTTTTTCGTAGAATTTAATAGAGTCTTACCCCCGGAAGGAGCCGAGAAGGTTACTGGGTTCAACCCCCTGCTCAGTGCAGGACTCAAGTCTCCCATCCACGACTGACCCTGCTTAGCTTCTGAAATTAGGCAGGAACAGACACTTCAGGCTATGTGGAGGTTTTCCTAATGAGTAATTTTGCCTGCTGCCACAGAGGAATGCTGATTGGCTGCTGCATATTGAAGCTCCAGCTCTTCTTCAAACAGTGGCAAAGCTTGTGTGTGTGACTGTTTGCAGCCTCCTCTATTACAGGAAGACCTCTGGCCACCACCTTGAAACTCTCTGAAAATACCTCCCTTTCACAGGAGGCAAATGACCCCCCTGAAGTGCACATGAGGAAGAGCAAAGGAAATGCTCAGCTTACCAGAATATAGCTGCAACCCACATCTTCTACCTCCAGTTTTTTTCTTCCCCCGATTTTTATTTTCCTTTAAATACAGAAAAAAAAACATAAATACAGACACATCACAATATCAATAATATAATGTACAAAACCCCAACTAATAAATGAAAAAGTAAATAATACAGTGCCCCCACCACCCAGGAGACCAATAGTACCTCCAGTTTAATTCATATAACAATTAATAATATATAATATACTTCAATTATATCCATATCCCCTCCAAGAATTCATATAATCTTGATTAGGTTTACAACCTTTACCTTCTATCAGTACTGCTTTTACAAAATCTTCCCAAATCTCATTATATTTATTTGCTTTTATTAACCCTTTTGAATTTTTATTTCTGTTGTCAGTTTATCATTAATTACTATATTCTATATTTCATTATACCATTCATGCCTTTGCATAACCCAATTCTGTTTCCAATATTTAACTATCACTAACCTAGCTGCCATTATCAAACTTAGGATCAATTCTTTCTTAACTTAATTTCAATCAACATTACCTCACCAGTTTTGAAACAACATCTGTTTCAGCCAATTTTCAAGAACAAGTCAAAAAAAAGAAGCATTGGTGCTCTCCTTTAAAGCCTTAAATGGATTGGCCACTGGGAAGCGGAAGAAGTACCTTTTCCCACCTAAACCTGCCCATTCATTATGATAATCCCTGGAGGCCTTGCTCTGAATGCTTCAGAGCCGTAGCAGGTAGCTCCAGGTGAGAGCATGCTCCCTAGAAGGGCTCACCTGACACTTGCCCACGTTTCTTTCCTGTGCCACAAAAAGACCTGGGTTTTTGAAGGGTCTTTTCATTTTTGGCTGAGCTTTAATGATTTGGTTTTAAGGACACTCTTTTTGGTTTTGATTCTGTTGTGAAATTGTGTTATCTACTGCCGGAGTGCTAATGCCAAAGTATGCCTTTGATATGAAAGTAAAATAACTTAATCACACACAGAGAGAGGAAGGGACAGGAAGAAAGAAATATGTTGCTTCAGCTAACAAGCCTCCTTTCCGTCTAGATATTGTTAAGCTTTCCGTTTGAAGCAAAATATCACATAGCAAACCCGAGATATAATTGGTGATTTTTTAAAAATTAGCCAGAACCATGAACAAGGCAAGGGATGTGCACAAAGCTTTTTCACTTCATTGAAGTCATTGCCATATCCTAAATCTGTCAGATGAAAAGTGCCATTTTAGCAACCATGGATGGCTATCATCCATGCTGCACTTTCTTCTCACCTAAGAAGACAACAACTGATCTGGGATTTGACTGGTGGGAGACAAAAAAGAACCCTAAGATCAGTCTGGAAAGTGGCCAAGGTAATGCCACATATAAAAGGATCCAGGATAGGTCCAGGGTAAATGGATAGACAGCGTTGTCAAACATAAAATTATCCAGCAGAGGAGGACAAATCTTGTTGACGAAGACTCAGCATGGCTTCTGTCTCATCAACTGTCTATCTTTTAGGACATCCTTATCCGAGTGTCCCACATTCAACTTTTGGACCAGATGTTCTTTACTTCCATATTGTTGCAGGATGTTCCTCACATGGCAGAAGTTTGTGCTACAGCTTTGATGCAGCATGGAGCCCAGTACAAGAAATATCATGGTCAAACATCTCTGAAACAGGTCTGCTCCTGAATGACTTATGAAAACGTTAAAGTGAATCTGTGTAAGAGGAAGTGCAGGTTTGTACTGTGGATACACATGAAATGGCTTGTCTTCAGCAGCTCCTAATGGCCACCAGTTGTGATGACTATATATAACCTCTAGTTTCAGAGGCAGCACATCTTTTATTTCCTGGAGAACATGAGTGGGACAATGATACTACACTCACGGCCTCTTTGTGGGCATGTGGTTGCCCTCTGTGAGAGCAGGATGCTGGCCAGACAAGCTTGCACAGTCTGATCCAACATGGCATTGCATAAATAAAAGTGATGCATTTATTGCATTTCTAATCTGCTCCATAACACATGTTCTTTGGGCAGATTCCAAAGAGTTAAAAATTTAAACTGGCACAGAACTATTAACAAGTAAAGCACACATATTGGAAAGAATAAAATGCAATAGAATGCAAAACAACTAACAGCACAGTCCTCACTAAAACAGCCATCAGGAACTAGAACTAGGTCTCTAAGAAGCCTCAGGGGAAAGAAAGTTCTTTGCCAGGTACCATAAAGATAATAAGGGCCAGGTGAACCTCTTTGGGGAGTTTATTCCGTAAGTGGCATTCCAACACGGAGAATGCCCTTTCTCTTGCAGTCAGCCACCACGCTTACATTGGCAAGGGCACCCAAAGGAGGTGCATGTGGGAGATGTTCTTTTTGATCTTATATTTGTATGTGAGGCAGACAGCAATGTTTTAGAAAGTAATTAGAGGAAATGCTTGTTATTTTCATTTTATATGCTTTGCAGATTGGATCCATCTGGTACTCAATGATGGCAAACTGTCAAGAATAACCTTGAACTGTAAAAAGGAATCTTTCCCGCCCCTGCCCGCCCCACACACAAAAGCTTGCTTTTAAGCACTACGACTTCATTTAAATGAGAGTTGTCTTCATACTGAACTGAGGCTGAGCATTAGTACCTGTAGCCCAAGTGAATGTTAAACCAAAAGAATATTTATCACGCTGCCAGAGTGCATGCTTAATTACAGTATTAGGAACAGTGAACGATTTCATTAGAGGCTAACTAAGAATTCTCATTATGCAAAGTTATTTATGCAGAATTCTTTACATCCTGCTGAAATAATCTGTACCAGGAACCACTTATGCTTACTAGCAACAATCAAATTCACCCTTTGTTTCTTAATCAAATTGGCTGTTGCATTGCTTATGACTCTTTTAACACAGTCAAGATTCAGAGGCTGTTTTCTCAGAATAGCTGTGCTGAGTTCCAAAGAGTTTGGGAATCAAATTAGACATTAAGATGGCTGGGAAGCTAGCACTAAGGGATGACACATCCAAAGCCACTGGACTGCTAAGGAGGCAACAAGATGCAAATATGTTTAGTATTAGTGTCCTTACATCACATCTATACCTTGGGCAGCTTGTATAGTCCTCCTCCATTCTATTTTATCCTCACAGCAACAACCTGGAAGGTGGACTGGGCTTAGAGTCCATGACTGGCCCAAAAGCAGTTGATGGGCTTCATAGTTGACTGGGGACTAGAAGCCAGGTCTCCCAGGACCTCTTCCCATCACTCATTACATTGCCTGTAACTGCTCTGCTCCAACAGACTTGGAACTGTAACCCATCTTGTCTGAAGGTCTAACAGGCTGATCTAATGCATGTTTAAGGAGTTGGGTTTGTTAGTTTATCCATTTGCTTGTTCCACTTATATCCCACCTTTCTTCCTAGAAAGATCTCCGAACAGTCTACAAAGATTAACATGACTTTGAAATACAACAAGGTGAATGTTATGACTCAACATAAACATCAGTCCATGAGCAAATTATTTCCCCAAATTATGGACCCTGTCCAGTGGGCAGAGGAGTTGGGGAGACAATGTCATTGGATTATTTCTAGGAGAAGAAAAAAGTCTTCGAAAATTTCTTATGGATGTGACTGCTCATTAGCAGTGAAATTAACAGTCTTGGTTGTTGTTATTAAGTTTATGCGGGTTGGTGGATTTGCAGCCACAACAACAGCAAGCATCAGTAGTCTTGATAGCCACCATAAGGTCTTTGACTTAGTGTCATTATGAGCAGTTTAGGGCAAAAGTGACAGCCACCAAGTTAAAACATGGTGGAGAATATCCAGAAAATGTTCTGCAAGGGAGCCTTCTTTTTCTGGGCTTTAACTGGTGCAGGGATGCCCAAGAAGAAGGTAGACCACGGGAGGCATTCTTGTATAGATTGTTCTGAATGAAAGACAGAACACTCACAAATACCCTGCAGGCTCTGTGTAGCAGTGTGGCTTAGTGGTCAGAGTGTTGAACTAGGGACCTGGAAGATCCAGGTTCTAGTCCACACTTGTCCATGAAGTTAACTGGGCAAGTCTGGACCAGTCACTCACTCTCAGCCTGACCTAATTCATAGGGTTGTTGTGAGGATAAAGTAGAGTGGAGGAAGCTGCCTTGGGATCCTGGTAAGAATCCAAAAGGCAGGACATGAATGTAATGCAGCAACCATAAAATAAGTGCAGGAATCCTCACACCCCATCTCTGAGAATTTCTCAGGGGAAAATCAGGAAGGAATGAGACCTGCAGATGGCATTCCATTCCATTCCAACCAATCCCAAAGGCATGTTCTCACTTGAGGGTGCCACTTCAAAGAAGGTGCTGCTCCTAGCAGATGTCACCCCAGCTTCCCATGGAGTGCCAGAGGATTTTCTCCCAGATACCCCTACTTTTTAGCCAGAATGCTTTCCGACCCTCACTAGTGGTTATTGCTCAGCGCTCCCTTTGCCTCCTTTTGACTTTTGCACAGCACATTTATCACCTGCCTTTCTTCCATCATGAAACTAAAAGCTGCATAGATGGTGTTTTAGATGGTTCACCAACCAGACCACTGATCAGACGTGGGCCAACTTAGCTTCAATAAAGCACCACGTGGCTTCAGGTCATGCCTTCCCCATAGACAGCTTCAGGATTCCAGATCCAAGGCCTAAAGCATCCAGATCTGCAATGCTTTCAATCCGATCAGCCTGTCTTCTCTTCCATGAATTCTCTTTGAAGCAGAACTACTGCAGACCTCACTGGAAGCTCTTTGCCTAAAGGCCTTTCCAAACTTAAACTTAAATAAATGAAAGAAGCAAATAGTACATTAGAGGATTTTATCTCTTTTTTAACTGAGTTAAAGTAGGTCACATTTGGGGCTTAGAACCTTAAATGTGCCTGTTGCAGTTAAATATATATAAAAGCAATCATAGGATTTAAGATCCTAAAGCCAGTGGCATTTTTCAGAATCAAATTCAAGCTGGCCTGAGTCTGCTAAGTGATTTAAATTGACACAGCTCAGGGATGAGCCAACTTTTACAGGGGTGCCAACCAGTTTGCTTGTAATCTAATCAGCACTGCATTTTAAAGTGCTAGCTCTATTGCACTGTGTGATTTCATGTTCTTCTCGGGAGCTCTGGAAGAGGCTGCACCAAAATTACTATCAATATTGTAAAGACAAATTCATTTGCCATAGCGTTAGGAGGACAAATCTCAGCTTTTTCAAATCCTCGCAGGTCAGATATTTTCTAAATGTGCAGCTTGATCCCATATTTATTGACTCAGTTGTGCAGTTGATTGGGAACAGTTTGGTCTCTCTTCAAACTATGAAAAAAAGAATTCAGAAGCTGCCCCTAGAACACAATCCACTGCAGTTATATTTAAAGCATCAGTGGTTCTGCAGGCATGTACATACCAACCCACAAAGGACAGGAGCGCTGGTGGATGCATTGTTGTTGTTATTTTACAAAGGAAAGACTTGTGGTTATGTTTAAAAGGGTGTGGGAAGATCAAGACAGCCAACCCACTTAAAAATAGGATTTCTGACTTTGGATTCAAACAGTTCTGATACCCGTCAGGGCACGGCTGCAGTCTAGAACAATACATAAGTATATATTCACTTGTTCTAATACGCAGATTTCTATTTCACTCTCTATCTTTAATAAAGGTTTATTGTTAGTTGCAAAGTCGTGCCCGACCCATCGCGACCCCATGGACAACACTCCTCCAGGCCTTCCTGTCCTCCACCATCCCCGGAGTCCACTCAAGCTCACACCCACTGCCCCAGTAACTCCATCTGGCCACCTCATCCTCTGCCGTCCCCTTCTTTTGCCATCTATTGTGCCCAGCAATAGGCTCTTCTCCAGGGAGTCCTTCCTTCTCATTAGGTGGCCAAAGTATTTGAGTTCCATCTTCAGTATCTGGCCTTCTAAAGAGCAGTCAGAGTTGGTTTCCTTTAAGATTCACTGGTTTGGTCTCCTTGCAGTCCAAGGCTGCAGCATCTTAAATGACAAGAGAAAAAGTCACATGGCCTCAAGCCATTTAAGGCTGGATGAGAGGCCCAGTGGACTGCAAGAAGAACCCAAAGCAAAAGCTTATCTTCTGGTTGACATCAACGTTTTGGTGAGCAAAGGCTGTGCTTTGCTTCTGATGTGGGGTGAAGGAGCTGTAAAGACATGCCTACTAGTGTCAGGGCCAAGTTGTCACTGAACTGTGCAAGCAGCCATGTTTTTATGTCACCCTGAAAGGACTCTTTCTGCTGGCCCTGGGGTAGATCAGCCAGGTGACAGCAACAGTGGTAGAAGAACCTTTCATTAGATGCATCCCTGCTCAGCTACTTTGACTCACAGGCAAAGCAAAGCACCAAAGGTGTGCCCCATTATACTACTGGTACCATAGACATCAATACTAGTCATCTCTGGTCAACAGAACCTGAGGAAGAAGTACAAATATTCTGCCCACTGTTTCTTGGTCGGAGCTCCGTGGCCTACCCCCCTTGCTTGACGGGGGTGATTTCCTAGACAATCTGGGTGTCAGGATACTGCATTGACCCCAACGGGCACACAAATAGAATACTTTCTTCTGTTATGCTTGTAGGGAGTTATGTAGGTTACAGTGGCAGCATATAATTTCTCTGATGTAATGAGAGAGATCCATGGCTCCCTGTAAAAGGAGTTTGAAGTCCAGTCTAGTTTGTGGCTTTCAACAAGGCAAGGCTTAGATATTACAACCTCACATTTTTCTAGTGGGGTTTCTTCAGCCCAATGAAGGGTTAGAAGTCCCCTTGAAATTCTTGAAGTGAAAAAAGAAAAAAGATAGAGATATGCTAAAAATATAAATAAATTCAAAAGCTTGTGTGTTGGGAAGGGGAGGGGTGTTGGTCCTAGGAAAGGTGTTAACCAAATGTGGGTTTTAGATGTTTAGATCACTTTCTTGGTTCGGAAATTTGTTTAAAATATCCACAAGCAGCAGACTGCCAAAACATGGGGCTACATAGAATGTGTTTGATCTCAGAAATGGAGCAATTTCATTTGAAATAAGAACAAGACAGGGTCACTGGATAGATATGGAGAAGTTTTTTGTCCCAAGCTCATTTGACTGACCTCTTTGATTCTTGCTGGACTGTGGCTCTTCTGTCTTCAAAGTTCTCTGGTCACTGGAGACAACTGAGCTGTCAGGAGCTGGAAACATCACGATACCTTTAGTGCTTTTCTAAAGGTTTATTGTGAACCAGTTTTATTCCTTTCCATCGACTTCTTTTAGAAACCCTGTTGGCTTATTGAGAATCCCTTTTATTTTATTATTTTTGGATGTCTGCATCCTTTGAGACCAGGTTTTGATTTACTTTTAAATAGGCAAGAATGAGTCTGACCTAGTTTTATTCCTGTTCAAGCATTTGGGGACTTTTAGAAAGATTTCATTGAAGCAAATATTTAAAAGCATTTGGGGCCAGTTGGATCACCCACGAGATTTGCTCTGAATATTTTTTCTCATTTTATTTGTATTTCTTTGCTTTTATTGCCATTTATTTATTTATTATAGCTCTTTGGGGGACCAGTAAGGCAAGAGATGAAGCCTCAGCTACCCAAATCCTATTTCTAAACTCATATGTAATCTTGACTACAATTATAGTCATAAATGGATGGATTAAATTGATCTTCCAGAATAAATGTTGGCTTATTTCAAAGATGGAGAGAAAGGCAGAACTGGATCTACTTGAAAATCCTTGGTTGATTTTCAGGAGATCACTAAAGCTTTCTGACTTCTGATGGCTTCATAAGAGTAGCACTAAAATGAAGCCACCCCACCCCATCCTACCTTAAATAAACTACTGAATTAAAGAAAGATTGAAATAATCCAGAGTGGATATTTATGGGGAAGGTGTTCATCACAGGTCACTTTCATTATTTAGAACATGATCCTGGACTTGGAATTCTTCAGTTCTAAGTTCATGTCCTGCTTCTGGCCCGTGTTAGAGGATCTTGGGGTTCAAGTCAAAAGGAATTAAATACATCCCAACAGTCTAAAGTTTTCTCCTTTCCTGGTTTACACAATTCAACAGATACTCACATGGCCTTAGAGATCAGTCCTATGTGAAGGAGCCCAAATGATGGAGAACTCCAGCCTGGGAGGCTCCATTGCATCCAGCCACTCTTTCTGGCAGGGTAGAAGGAATGTCAGGGCATTTTTCCTTCAGAAGAGGAGCGTGGGTTTGATGAACTGCTGAGTTTTTCTCACTTCCCTTTACTGCCAGGAGATGAGAGTGCGTCAGTCCCTCTGTCCCATCCCTAACTGCTGCAGTCCACACGGGATCCCAGGCACGGGGTGGGACTTCCACTGAAGATGGCTCCTTTGCTGCCCCCTCCCTGTGCCAAAGGACCCTGAGATCCCCGGGGGAGCCCCATGCCTTGTCATCATGCAGGGATGCTGAGCTGGTGGTGGTGGAGGCCCACATCTCCTCAATGCGCCTGGCTGCTTCACTGGGCCATTGCGGCCCACACGGGATCAACGCGCTGGACAGGAAGCCACAGATGCCTCCTTTGCCAGTCCCATGACAAGGGCAGCAGCCGAAGGGTGATGACATCATGACTTGCCCCTATGAGGTCAGAGTTCCGACACTGCAGAGGAAGTCACTGTGGAAAGCTCCCCGGGAGCTGGGAGGAGGAGGAGGCAGGCGGTAATGAGAGGAAAAATCCTCCAAGGTTGACGCTCTAGGACTTTTGGGGTGGGGGGAGTTCTAAGGGATGCAGTCTAGGTACCACTGGATTGTTCTCTTAAGAACTGTATTAAATGATAGAAGAAAAACATTGAGAAATACATATTTTGAAAGCTTAGCTTAGTTTTAGAAATAGATATACTACAATAAAATATATTTAGACTATGATCCAGGTATGCTTGCCTTGGAGGAAGACCCAATGAACACAGGTTTTGATGGGGGAATCAGGACACGTTTCCTCCCTCCCCCTCTCTCCCTCCCTTCCTCCTTCCTTCCTATCCTGAAATCTCTCTGCTCTGTCCTCATACTGATTTGATTTCTGATGAGCTGTTTTAACAAAAGTAGCTTAAGATTTTCATTCTTTTACAATGGGGTATTTTTAACAAAATTTCTAGCCATTATCTGTGGGGGGGAGAGAGAGAGAGATCATTTCTTTGGTCAGCATTATTTGAACAATAGAGTTCCTTTAATTTCCAAAAAGCCAGATATTTGACCTCAAGTTTTATCTGGCCTGGCTTCCCTTCCATCCAGTGTCATTGATCTAGCTTAACCATGAACTGCTTTGAATTCTGTTCACTCTTTAACCCTTTTCATGGCATTGTTGTTCATTTACATGAATGGATACTTGAAAATGCTAACAGTACTATCTTTACCACCTAGTCAGCTAGCCTTCTTATGAACTCCGTATCTGAGCCATTGTTACATTCTTCTTTGGTTTAAGTGGGATAAAGTTTGACCTAATTCAGCACTTATCTCTTAGCTTAACAATGGTTGGCTAAAAGGACAGAGGTGAAACACTGAACGGTTGCAAACCTTGCAACAAAGGAATCAAGCATAATGAATTAATCTACCCAAATCAAGATTATTTCCATTTATACTCACTATATTTTATGACACATGCAGACAGCACTATATGAAGAGCACATCCAATAGGAAAACCCATAAAATTCAAGCTCAGGGGACTCAGGGCATCCTACACGAGGTGGGAAGCATGTGGAAAAGATTTTGCCTCCACACCCCTCCCACCCTGCAAGACAGTAGGACCACTCAATTTGGCTGTTGGCTGCTTGGCACATCAAATGGGGAGGGATGGAGGCAGGCCTGGTCTCCTCCCCTCCCAGAATGCCCTCTTCATCCCCTGCCAGAGGTTGCTCCTGTGACCTCGGAAAAGCAGTGGATGGCATTACAACCTCCTTCCCTCCCCTGCCCCAGCACTTTATCTAGATGTCCAAAAACAGTTGTCTAGAGAAAACACTCAGGGTGGGGTGTGAAAATGAACACACTACATCATTCCAGACATGGGATACATGTCTCTAATTTTTTTAGGTAAGCTGTTTGGAAACTGGTGCAAGAGTCAAAAAGGGGCAAGGCACAGAGGCCAGGAAAAAATGTTCTTTATCAAGGTTGCAAAGATTCTGGGACAAAAATTGCACTAACACCAAGGTGCAATTAAGTCTATATTTACTCCAATATCCACAACAGCATCAGCAATATTCTCTTCTAGCCTAATTACCTAACAGTTATATGGGATTTGGGCTGCACTTGCTAGTATCATTTCTAGATCCACCCTCCAGGGGTATCCAAACCAGGCATGCTTGCAACAGTGGCATCTGGTTGTCCCAGACTATCAGTTTAGTCTGCTTCAGGTACAATATTCTATAGAAGGGAAGATGCTTGAGGAATGTCTTGATCTTGAGTCCTGAGCAGTTGATTGGCAGTGTGTTTTTCTGATGAGAAGACTGAGGGTGAGGGGATATTTTCAGCATCCGAGCAAAGAAAACAACACTGCTTTTGCAGTATATACAACAGTCAATGTCTTAGCATGGCGTTGCTGAATGGTTTGATCTTCTTCATCTTATGTGTGTAATTCACATGAAAATACACAATAGCTATGACTGTATAAATGCATAATTAAAAGGCCTATAGTGTTATTGCAAACTCCAAATATTCTTACTTGGCCACAACTACCAAAATAGTCTGTCTCTTGTTCTCAATATGCTTGATTTATGCTTGATAAATCCTTGATTTCAAGATTAGTGAAATACTGTGTGGTTTTCAAAAACCTTTCTTTGTTTGCAGTAATTTTGTTTTACTTGGAAATATTTATGCTCTGCTATACACGCTTTGCTTGACAGTTTTCCTTATTGTCTGCAACTTTTTACTATCTCGCTACAAAATGCCAAAAACTCAATTCAGTCTATATAAAGCAGCAGTGCTAAGGTCGTGTACAAAAAGAAAAGTTATCATACCACTGGAATGCCACTACTATTCTTATCAGTTTGTCTAGAATTAATAAAATTGTCTAAGGTGAAGAATGGAGCAAATGCCAAAGACCTGACCTTCTATCACTTTAAAAAGACAGAAACTGTGAGTTGTCCTGTTTCTTCATGTTGTTTTTGTATATACAGCCCACTTCTGTCTCAAGGACCCCAAAATTGTAAACTTGGTTCTCTCCCATCGGAGAGAAAGGGATTGGTCCAAGGTCACAAGATGTTCAGGGCCTGAGCAGAGATGTGAGCCTGGGGCTTCCTATCCCTAACCACCAGCCAAAAAGATTTTCAGAGCAGCAGACTTCTCTACTCATTCTCCCCCCACATTCTTCCTTCTCCCAGTCATTGCCATTTCCCAAAATCGACAGTTACAAGAAGACCTCAATACGCTGGAGTTGAATGACTACATCACCACCTGAACGGCTGCCCTGCTTCCTCCTTCAGTAGCAGACGGGAACAGGAGAGGAATTTCCATCAGGTTGCACCTTCTCATGGCAATTTCTTTATTATTCACATCAAAAATGATTAATTGTCCTTTGGCTCCTGGATCCATGCTATATTTAAAATGCAGATTTTTCATAAATAGGAGAGGATAAGAAAGGGTTGACATTCCAAAAGAAAATATGTGCAGAACTCAAGGAAATAATCATTTAATAGTCATAGAATAGTAGAGTTGGAAGGGGCCATGAAGGCCATCGAGTCCAACACCTGCTGCTGCAGGACACCACATTACACCATCCCACTCAGGTGGCTGCCCAGTTTCTTTTCAAATGGTTCTAGTGTGGGAGAGCTCATGACCTCTCTAGGCAGTTAGTTCCATTGCTGTATTGCTCTGACAGTGAGGAAGCTCTTCCTGATGTCCAGCCTAAATCTGGGTTGTCACAACTTGAATTGATTATTCCATGTCCTACACTCTAGAATCAGCAAGAAGAGATCTTGACCTTCCTCTTTGTGACAGCCTTTGAGGTACTTCTAGATGGATATCATGTCCCCCTCAGTCTTCCCTTCTCAATCATACAGCAAAGGAAGGAAGGAAGGGCGAATGAAGGGAAGGAAGGACAGAGGGAGGGAGGGAAAGAATGAAACCCCCCCATCCTAAAGTGGGAGAAAAAGTAAAGATGAATCAATCAATGTGTTTCAATTTATGTCATGTTTGCATTTGTTCCTGCATGAAATGCCCTTCTGCTACGTTAAG